GAGAGAGAGAGAGAGAAACATCAATGAGGAGAGAGTCATTGATCGAGCCCGCAACCCGGGCATGTGCCCTGACCGGGAATCGAACCCGATCGCCTGGATCCCAGGTCGACACTCAACCGCTGAGCCACGCCGGGCCGGGCAAGATGCTTAATTCTTGCTGTTAAGGGTGTGAATCTTCCTCTGAAAACTTCTTTAGCTGAGTTCCAGAGGCTCCACTATGAAGCAAGTGTCTCACCATGTCGCCTGCATTTTCTTTAGAGAGAGAAGGGGGGAGAGGGAGAGAGAAGCATCGAGGGGAGCGCAGGACATCGGGTGGCTGCCTCCCGCACGCCCCTCCTGGCCATGAAGCCCACAACTGTCCAGTGCCTGGAGTGACGCCCACCCAACTGAGCCACACCGGCCAGGGCACGCCTGCATTGTCTTTGCTTGGTTTTCATGTGTTTCTTACAATAAAATTATGTGATTTTTAATCTTAAAAGTTACTTTTCTAACCATGACTTGGGCTGGTATTCATTGACTTCCTACCATGAGCAATGACAGAATTAATTATTTCCCTTCTCCTCTCTCTCCTCCCCCCGCCAGTTGATTGCCTTCCTTAGTATTTCCCTTTGTACTGCTAAATACACCTTCGCTTCTGTCAGGTTCTGAAAAGCTCTAAATGCATTTAGATCAAGTAAGTTTTCCCCAGAAGGATTCTTTTTTTTCTGCCCTTCCCTCTCTCCTCCCCCCAGCCTTCACCCCCTCACCTCCCCCCCAGGCAAGTCCTCAGTCATCTTAGCCATGAAAAATGAGAACTTAGCTGATCCGTAGACAGCTGCTGCCTCCACAAGGGTCAGGAGTAAATTTAGGTTCTGTCACAGAGTGAGGCTCTATCGGGGAAGCTCAGAACATCCTGCCGGGGCTCCCTAAAAATAGCGTCACTAGGCTCGCACAGCTGGAGCCCAGGGCACAGCCCCTGCCCTGTCCCTGGTCCTGAGGAGCCTAGACCAAGCTCCGGATGGTGAAAACCTCCTTAGCCTCCCTCTCCGTGGCTACAGGACAACTGGATTCCTGAGCACCTCCACCTCTCCACTTACGTCTCTCTCTCAATACGGGCAAACGTTTTCAAATTGAACCATTTCAGAAGAAATCCTGGCAGAGATCTTAAAGGCCCTCCCACCCCAGCCTAGGCTAGCTTTCACCTTCACTTACCCGTGAGCACAGCCCTACCATCCATTCCTGCCCCCCCACCCCACACCTTTTCTCCACTGGGCTCTTCCCAAGCTCCCGAGGTCAGGCCAAAGGGGATAGTGCGACCAGATGGCCACCCAGTTGAGACAGAGGCAGCTCTGCTAAGTGTCTGCAAAGATCTTCTCTCTCCTGGTGTTTGAAAATCCTGTGTCCTGCCAAGGAATAATATTGCTGCAGATTTCCTTTTCTGTCCTTATTTTCAGCCCCCTCCCTCACACCCCACCTGCCCTGGGTCCCCTTTAATCACCATCTCCCTCCTCCCATCATAGGTTGTCACATCAGGTGTCACTTGTTTACAAAGTGTACAGCAGAAGCAGAAAAGATTTCTAGACTCAAGGAAGTGAATCTTTACTTTCAGGTATCATGAGAAAGGCAAGAAATACTTTTGAAAAACCCTTCTTAGTGCCCCTTAAACTGCACTGCAGTGTCCAGGCCCGGGAATGAAACCCCCTCCCCCGGCGGGACAGGCAGGTGACCATGCAGCACCCACTCTAGCCCTGAGTCTTTTCACTTCACAGGCCAGGTAAACAGTCAAACTCGGGCCCTTCCCTTTCCCCTCAAACATCAAAAGCTTATACATCATCATTTAGAGTTTATTTAGCCCAATGGTGCAATGGCAGAGGAGCCCGTGTGGGATCCCCAACTCCTGGATCACACCAATCATCACTTTGCAGGTCAGAAAAGTCAAGACATCAGATTAGACCCTGAAGTCCCTGGTTGCTCTGATGTACTAGGGATGCAGGGCGCAGGCTGGCTGGGCGGCTGCGCAGAAGGAACCCCGGGTGGTCTCTGTGCGCGCACAGGGTGGTGAGCAGCTCAGCTGGGTGGCGTCCGGCTATGAGGAGGATCCTGGGCTGGCTCCCAGGACGCCCCTCCACTCTTGTCCCCTCCCGGGAAGATGACTGTGGCGTACGTCACAGGCATGGAGCTGGTCAGGACCTTAGGAGGCAGAGGGGGCGATGAGGAGGGGGCTGGGGCCGGGGCGTTCCGTGATGGGGGCTCAAGGGGTAGGCTGGAATAGGTGGTATTGTCAAAGGAAGGCGGCGAGTCAAGCCTAACATATGGTATGTCCGACGGCACATCTACAGCCAGCCGAGAGTCATCGATGTGGACCACCGAGGAGGGCACCTATGACAGAAGCAGGCAAATCAGGCAAAGAGAGCGCCTTCCTCAGCCCCAGTTCCTGGGGGGCGAGGCCCAGGACCACGCTGCACCTGTCTCTCAAATCCTATGTCAGTGGGCAAGAGGGCTGCTTGTAGATTTGCAAGACCCAACTTTTCCCCAAAATTTGGGAGGGTGTGATACCAAGGTGGGAATGTGGGACCATTCGTGCCAAGTTTGCAGCATTTAGGAAGACAGTTGGACCCCGATGGTCCCAGTCCTCTCTCCACCCCACCAACCTGGGACCTCTCAGCGGGCATGGCAGGTGGAGGGCCTGGGGACACTGGCGGGGAGAGGCCTCCCTCTTACCATGCCTGGAGCTCCGCTGCTCTGGGATTGGCCGGAGACGCCAAGTCCGTTCCCTGGCAAGACAGAGGACAGCCGCAGTCTGCTTCCTGTGCTGGCTCCAAGCCCACCCCCACTCCCTTCAGAAACCTCTTTTCCAGTCCAAACCTCTCTTCACCTTCCCCACTCCCACCACTGAACCCTCTCCACCCCCCACACCCCCCAGCCTGCCCTCCTCTCCCCACCTACTTACTGCTTCCACAGCTCCTGCCCAAACCTGCCTGGACACCACCCCTAGCTACAGAAGCCCTTTCCCCACCTCTCCAGTCCCTTGTCCCCAATCCCACTCTCCCACCCTTTCCAGTTCCTGTCCTTCCCCAGACGGGCTCCCACTGATCTCCTTCCTCCTCTCCCTGCCCCCCTCCCCTCAGCCATGGAAATTCTAGGGCCCCAGGGGGGCCCCTGCCAGTGCCCAGACAAGCCCCTCTGTAGGGAGCAGGCCTGGATTCCTGGCCATGTCTGCAAGACTGGCTGACAGGCCCAGGGGGTCATGCTGGGTAAGAAAATGGACCGCTACCTACCTTTCCTTTTGGCCATCACAGCAAACAGCACCACTGCCACCACCAGCAAGCCCAGCAGGAGCACAGAGCCCCAGACCAAGGGGATGCTGTGGGACAGGACGCAAAGGGACAGGTGAGCTTGGCCCTGGACCTAGCTGGGAGCTGCTGGCCAGGGTGGGGTTCTCAGCCCCGGCTGGGAGGAGGCTCCGGGAATGGAGTGAGGCAGGCAGGCCCAGGCGGGGCAGAATAGAGACCCATCATCAAGGGGTCTATGCCGGCTGAAGCCCCCATGGGGTGGAGGGGCCATCGTTGAACGGGAATAGAGAGATCTGTCTGTGTGTCTGTCTGTCTAGCTGCCTGGTCAGAAGTTCCCCAGGAAAGGAAGGAAGCGTAAGGCTTCTCTTTGATTTACTCTGGGGCTGTAAACAAGCCAGGCCTTCATACCCCCCCACCCCACCCCCATCCCAGCCACACAGACACCTTCCCATCAGTACCTCTTCTCATGCTGGCTGGGCTCCAGGGGGCTGGCACTGCCTGTGGGGCCTGAGGAGGGATCTTCAGTCCCACCGCCAACCTTGGAGGACTCCTCTTCCTCCCCTTCCTCTGTCTGGTCAGGAGCTGAGTCAGAAGGAATATCAGTGAGCGCAGACCCACTGTGCGCAGGGTTCAGGGGCCTGTTGAGGTCTGAGCACTGGGGGTGGAGCTGAGGAAGGAGAGGTTTCCAGTCAGAAACACGAAGAAGGGGCTCGGGTATTGCTTAGGGGCCGGCACTCTGGCTGGGAACCTGCCCACTCTCCCCCTGCACCAGCCCCCACCCGCTTCCCTGCATTGCTCTGAAGGGGCTCAGCACAGCCTGCTAGGCCCCTCCACACCCCCGCCACCACTCAGTTTGGTGACAAAGCTTCTGTCACCTCCAACGTGCCCCGCTGCTGACTGAGGGACTCGGAGTTGGCTTCTCTGGGCCTGAAGATCTGTCTGGGATGGGAGCCTCGCCCTGCTCTCAGGAGAGTCACCATTCCTGCTCCCCACCTCAGGCCAAACAGGGAGTGGAGGTGCTGAGGCCCCAGCCCGGCTGCATATGTCCTGCTCCCCTCGTGCCTGTTCAGCCACCGTGCATGAGCCTCCCTGCTGCTCCTGCATCTTCCCTGGATACCAGGCCCCGCCTGCCCGCCTGTCACCCATCCTCTATGGCTGCCAGGCCCCACACCNACCACATGGCCCCCCGCAGGCCCACTGCGCCCTGGCCCGGGCTCTGCCCTCGGGCCTGAGGCACTCCAGGGTCAGCCCTAATGTGACACATGCCCGCTGACCCTGGCTGAGGGACTTGCTTGGACCCTGAGACTCAGTTTGGTGACAAAGCTTCTGTCACCTCCAACGTGCCCCGCTGCTGACTGAGGGACTCGGAGTTGGCTTCTCTGGGCCTGAAGATCTGTCTGGGATGGGAGCCTCGCCCTGCTCTCAGGAGAGTCACCATTCCTGCTCCCCACCTCAGGCCAAACAGGGAGTGGAGGTGCTGAGGCCCCAGCCCGGCTGCATATGTCCTGCTCCCCTCGTGCCTGTTCAGCCACCGTGCATGAGCCTCCCTGCTGCTCCTGCATCTTCCCTGGATACCAGGCCCCGCCTGCCCGCCTGTCACCCATCCTCTATGGCTGCCAGGCCCCACACCTGCCACTGCANATCTGTCTGGGATGGGAGCCTCGCCCTGCTCTCAGGAGAGTCACCATTCCTGCTCCCCACCTCAGGCCAAACAGGGAGTGGAGGTGCTGAGGCCCCAGCCCGGCTGCATATGTCCTGCTCCCCTCGTGCCTGTTCAGCCACGGTGCATGAGCCTCCCTGCTGCTCCTGCATCTTCCCTGGATACCAGGCCCCACCTGCCCGCCTGTCACCCATCCTCTATGGCTGCCGGGCCCCACACCTGCCACTGCGGGTCCCGCCTCCCTGCCCCCCTTCCGGTGCCTCTCCTCCTGTCACAACTGAGGACCTACAACCTTTAGTTCCCAGACCCCAGCGTGTCAAGGAAGGGAAGGGACAGAGATGACAAGAATTAACAGGAGTGTATTTATAATAGAAACAGTAATCGTGGACGCCAGAGAGGAGGGCTTCTCATGGCAACTGGGCCCATCCTCTTAATTACCAGGCAGGGAAAACCAGAGAAGGGACTGTGCCTTTCTTAGTTTTGTTGTTTGGGGGTCAGGCACAGATTACTTGAGAAAAGAAAGACCTGGAAGGGAAATCATCACCATCCACAAGGGACATTTAGTAGCCGTCTCTGCTCAGCAGCCAGCTGACCATTTCCCTCCAGAACAACAGCCTTTACTGGGGGAACATTTTAACACCTCGAAATTCTCTTTAAATGAATACTTAGACATTAGATAGTTGTGGGCTGTGTGAATTAAATCTATAAAAATGAAGTGCTTTCCATACTGAAATGAGGGTTGAGACTATTACCTAGATGTTAATGACGCGTTTCCCATCTTGAAGACTGAATGGGTTGAGGTGGTGGGGGCCGTGCATGCACCCTGCCTGTAGGTGAGCAGGCGAGGGGTGCTCAGTGAGGACTTACTAAATTGGTAAGGTAGGAATTCAGTCGTCTTTAGGCCAAGAAACCCATTATTACAAGAATAAAATAAAAAAAAGAAAACCACTGGATTTTATAAAAGAGCAATTCAAGTTGATATGCCCAAATTAAAACTTTGTTTAAAATATTTCTAAGGAAAAAAAAATAGCGTCAAGTAGATTGGGGATGCTGGCCAAGAGGGCCAAGGCCTCAGGTGGAGAGAGGCCCTGCCTTCCTGGGGGACCCGCCTGCGCAGGGTGGGGAGGGGCTGCACTTGGCTGTTTTATCTCAGGCCTCTCACACAGCTTGGTTTCCGTTCCTGCAGAGCTGTCAGAGGGACGCCTCCTCCCCAGTCCTCTCCCCCTGAGGCCCCCGCCCCCCAAGAGCCTCAGAGCCGCAGGTGGGAGCGGGGAGGGCAGGTCAGAGGGGCAGTGGCAGCTGGGCTCACTCACCGGCAGGGAGCACGTGCAGGGCCACCCTGTGCACTGTCTGGGGCCCGGCGGCGCCCTCCACCACGCAGCGGTACTCCCCCGCGTCCTCCTCGGCCAGCTCGACCATCTCCACCTGGAGCAGGCCGCTCCCCATGTCCGTGAGGAAGGTCCGGCGGTGCCCTGGGGCTCTGCGATCCACCGCTGAGGACACCAAGGGCTGGCACCCCGCCGGCGACAACCGGCACCACACCTTCCGAGCCTTTCTGTCCTGGGGTCGGTAGAGACAGTGCACCCGAATGGAGCCCCCCACCGTCGCCTGCAGCACCTCGGGGAGGCTGCCAGCTGAGCCTTGGCCTAGGGAAGGGAAGGGTGTGGAAATGTTAGGCAGGAGTTGGGGGACCTTCCCAGCCCACCCACTGGCATAGGGGCCCAGGGACCCAGAGGTCCACCTTCTGGGCCCCTACACACGTTAAAGCTGCCATAATAATGCCAATTATTTCTAAGCATGGAACAGAGTCCATGGGGCCCACAGTGCAGCTCCTGAGCCTTACCTGCTAGTCCCAGGAGCAGCAGCAGGAGCAGCCTGGGAACCATAGCTGGGCAGGGAGGTGTCCGCTCCTGGGCTGGCCTGGCACTGACACAGCGTTCCCCTGGGGCAGGAAACATCTGCCTCGGACAGTCACGTGGGGTTCTCAGTACCCGTGGGTGGGGGGCAGACACTGGTGGACCCCCCCACGGGTGGGGGTAAGGAGTCTTTTAAACTCTGGTTGGTTCAGTGCTCAGGAGCGGACCCTGTGGGCAGGGCCGGGTAAGGCAGGGCCGGGCCCAGCTAAGGAGTAAGGTGGGGATATCAAGGCAACTGGAGAGCATTAGAGAAAGAGAGAGGCGACCTCCGGGGTCTTCCAAACAGAATCTGGGGGTCGGGGCTGTGAAGGAGGGAGGCAGTGTCCTACCCAAGGTCCAAGGCCCTCTGACTCTAGATTCTCTGTGAGTGTCCCCACCCAAGCTTTCAGGAGACTGTCCTTCTGTGGCCCCGCCTTGCAGCAGGAAGGCCCACCTTGGTGATGGGCCGGCCTATCTTTGTTCAACTGGGTGCTCTCGGGACCCTTTCAACTTGCACCGCGGTTCTTCAGTCCTGGGAATTGCATTATTTCTTTGATGATTACTTCTCTGTTTCTGTCTCCTCCTGTTTCCCTAGAACTCTTTAATTAGGTGGATATGGAACCTGATGCATTCATTGCATTTTCATCTCCTTCTCTCTGATTTTCCACCTTTTTTGTCCATTTTTTTCTGATTTCTGGAAGATAGTCTCACCTTTTTCTTCCATCCCTTCTATTATTAGCTTTTTAATTTTTGTTTTTTAGTGTTCTTAATTCACAAGATTTCTTACTCTCCAAGCATTTCTTGTTTATAGCTTATTTTTGTTTCAGGAACACACTATCCTCTCTGTGGAGGAGAACATTCTCTACAAAGATTTCCCTGTTTCTGCCTGGTCTGGGCCTGCTGAGCGAGGGCACTCGCCAGGCGTGCTCAGGGTCACTGCGTAGTAAACATGCCTGAGACAGTGTCTCAGCTCCAGGGGGGTTTGCTTCCGCCCTTCCCCTCCCTCCCTGGGAAAGGTGGGGTTGTTTTGTTTAAATATTATTTTTCAATTGCAGTTTACATTCCATATTATTTTGTAGCCAGGTGGGTACTTGTTTTGTTCTTTTAATGGGAGAGGACCCTGGGGCTCAGAGGAATTAAGGAACTTGCTTAAAGTTTCTTAGTAGGAGGCAAAGCTGAAGCTTGAAACCAAAGTATCTGACCCCCTTCAGTCCAGGGTGACCCCCAGAGAGTCCCAAGGCAGGGGATCCCAATGGCAAGGAGAGATTCCCCTGCACCCCACTACCAGGCATGCCACCTGGGGAGGAGCCTCACTGCCATCTCATGAGCACTGTGCCCAGGAAGGGGCGGCCAGGAGGCAGAACCAGGCTTCATTCGGTCTCCACCCAGTCTTGACCACCGTCCTGCCTGGGGACATGAGGAAGTCTCACATGCCCCTGAGTCAGAAGGCCAGGGAACACAGACGGACCAGCAGAGTCGCCTCACTGGGGCCTGGGCGGGACCGGGCAGGGTTCTGAGGCCGCCTCAGGGATGCAAAGCCCCGGGCGCCCAGCCCCGGTTAGCGGCCAAGCGGCCAGGTGGCCCAGCCCAGCGCAGTGGAGCGCCTGCTGAGGGTGCGCAGGACCCAGGCCTTCCCCCCTCTTCCTGGCAGCCCACCGGGGAAGCCTCACAGCTTCCCTTCGCTCTTGGCATACAGAAGAGAGAGCTGAGGCCGCTTCCTCACCTCCAGCACGTGCTGCTCAGGTGCCGCCTCCGGCCGCCTTTGGAGTTGCCCAGCCGCCCCGCTGGACGCCCCACCCCCCCCCACCGCTGGCTGACTTGTCCACTGCCTGCCTCCTCTCTCCTCCCAGACAACGCTCGCTCTGTGTCCCCAGTGCCTAGACTAGTCCTGGCGGAGAAAAGAGCTGCTGAGTAGGTACACGAATGAATGAGTAGGACTGAGCTGGAGGGGAGGGCACCTGGAACGCCGAGTGAAATTTAGATTTCCAGGCTCTGCTGGGGACTTCTCCCTCGTGAGCCTTAGTTTCCCTTCTGTACGATGAAGGTCTTCGATCAGTAGCTTCTGGTTCTGGTGCACTGCCCTCTATGACTCAAGTCCCCGTTGGTCGCTCCTCTGGGGGGGATGTGACGTGATGAAAGCAGAGCTCCAGGGAGAAGACAGGG